GATGTGTGAACTCTATATGAGATTCCCATCTTGTTCTTGAATGACCGAAGAACAGAGACATTATACCGTAGCACTTTTGGAAAAACTGCTTATGTAAACTTCACTGAGACATTTGCTTTGTTTGAACTGGGCCAGTCTTTTGTATATGAAAGCAATGACTTCTTTTCAGAAAGCCAAAGGAAATGAAAAGAAAAGGTACTGTCCTCCATGATTGTTGTCCCTTGTTTCCTCAGCAACAGCACTAATTCATGGACAGCACAAATTTGTGGCCACTAAACATAGTCGAGGCAGCCATGGGATTTTTCATAGTCCCAGCACTGGCCTTAGGCCTTGGCCCATGTTTGGTGCTGGGACCTACCCTTGCAGCTGCATAAGTACGGCTCAGCTGGCTGTGGTTCTGAGGCTGCAAGAAATGACCAATCACAGAGATAGGCTTTAAGGATGGGGAGGAAGGCAAGCAGCAGCTGGTGGCACCTCAGTTCCCTTTCCTGACACCCCGAGTCACTGCACTTAGCCAAAAAGGTGGTGTTTTGTAGATGGGGGTGAAGTGTAAAGGTGGCCCTCACCTCCATGTTCAGAGGTTCACAGAATCTGGATTGGATTGCACCCTAAGTCAAAGCCAGTCAATGTTGACCCAATGGAATTGGTCATCTTTTTCTTCTTCTTCCTTTGAAGCTAAGTCTTAAAAATCTCATCAATGCGAATGAAATGAAATCAAACTGCTTTCTCTTTGAATAAATTAGAATTATTCTCTCAGAAATACTTTATTAACAATAGTCAGAAATATTATTTATTCTTTAGTCCCAGGAGACTGCTTGTTTCACCATTTTTTTCTTCCTATTTGAGGGCTCTCCAACCCTCTAGAGCAGAGTTAAGGGCCTTGGGAGGGGGAAGATGAACAGGCAAGAAGCACCTCCCAAGCTCCACGTGGTTCATGGAGTTCCAACCTATTGTCTCTCAACGTTATCTACAAAAAACATGAATGGAAGAAGTAGCAGAGGGTAATTTTTTGTTAGTTCCTAATCATATCCATTGCCATAGTATAATGAACATTGTCAGATATGTTAGGAAATTAAACTGGTACCAGAAGGTATTAGCATCTTGGATTAAAAACCTCAAAATTATTCCAGGTTTCATAACTCTCTTCACAAGTGAAGGAAGGCCATATGTTTTACCTTCATTGTGTAGAGCAGCTCTTTTCAAGGAACTGGGGATCCATACTGAGTATTAGACACCTTGTACTTACAAGGGAATGCAAATCTACTGGCAGAAAGCAGCAATGAATTGAAATGGCTCCTGATGAAAGTGAAAGGAGAGAGTGCAAAAGCAGGACTGCAGGTGAATATTAAGAAAACAAAAATGATGGCTACAGAAGAATTACAGGACTCTACTTTTAACAAGCACAGAAGAAATTGGCATTGTGGAAGTTTTTGCATACCTTGGTTCAGTCATAAATTCAAATGGAAACTGCAGCCAAGAAATCTGAAGAAGGCTGAGACTTGCAAGAGCAGCAATGAAGGAACTAGAAAAGATAATCAAGTATAAGGAGGTTTCACTGGAGACCAAGGCCAAGAACATCCACACTATGGTATTCCCAATCAGTATGCACAGGTGTGCAACGTGGGCAGTGAAGAAAGCTGACAGGAAGTAAAATGATGTGTTTGAAACATGGGGTCGGAAGAGAGCTTTGTGAATATGCTAGACTGACAAAAAAACAAACAAGTGGGTTCTAGATCAGATCAAGCCAGAACTTTCCCTGGAAACCAAAATTTTAAAAAATAAAAAAATAAAAAACCTGAGGCTGTCATACTTTGGGCACATCATAAAGAAGCAGACAATCATGCTAGGTAAGGACGAAGGCAGAAGAAAAGAAAAGGATGACCAAATATGGATTGCTTCCATAAAGGCAGCCATAGTCTTGGACTTAGAAGAATGAAGCTGGGCTCTTGTGGCTAGTCCATTTTGGAGGGCTTTCATTCCTAGGGCTACCATAAGTTGGGGATGACTTGATGGCACATACAAGAATGAATGCACAATGAAATAAGGTTGAATATATGGAAGTATTAGTTTATTTCAGATGAGATATTAAGTTGACTATATTACTGGAGAGTATGTTGTATGGACATCTTCTTCCTCTATTAAGCTTCAGAGGTGAGGAAGCAATACCAAGAATAGTGATTTTCTGAACTATGGTCCCAAGGCATTGAAATAGCTTCAAGCTTATCTGATTTCTCTCTCTTCTCACAGACAAAAGTCTCCCCGTAAAACATTTTTTTCTTTAGATCAGACCAGTCTGTGTATATTCATATCTGACTATAATGTTGAGGTACTTGTCCAACTATGTTTACTGTTTCCACCAGACTTCCAATGAGGTGACTTTTAAAAAGGAACATTGTAAGGAAAATTCAGTTAGGGTTTGATTTTTTGAACTAATTGCAGAGACTAAACCTAGCTTTCTTGAGTTTTAACAGAAGAGAGCATGTAAATGTTTTTTCACATAAGCAAGGAATCTTAGGCATGGGCATCTGTATTTCATTGTCTACAAAGTAATTGCCACAGTACAGGATGCGGTCCATTTATAGGGTACATAACAATGTGAAAATCCTTCTTCTCTCTTCATGCCTTTGCCCCTGCTGTGTTCCTAAGCCCATTCAATGTCACATTAATCCATGTGATTAGTATTCTGTCTGAAATGCCCTCTGCATTTTACTAGTTAGAATACATAGATAATGAAATGTTATTAACACAAGACCATTTCTTCTAATGAAAGGAAACTTTTGTGGTAGGAAGAACTGCAGTAAATTTAGGAGAAATAAGGAGCAGGAGATTTTTTCAAGCCTGTTGTCCTTTATTGGAAAGCATAAAATAGGCCATGTGGAATAGGAGAATGGATTTATCAGCAAACATGAATTAAAATAATTGGGATGTTGACAACTTGCATATATTAACATTATATAATCTGCCTTCTGTAGTGGTTTTTTTTTTTTTTAAATACAGTTCATTCAATGAAATGTTGGTGGTTACACAGAGACTGCATAACACAGTTTGGGAGCAGGCAGAGCTTGAGGCAACACCAGAAATTTCTGGCTTCATTTTTAGTTTTAAACTGAAGGCAATATTCACTGGGCTGTGAAAAATAATTTAGACATCTAATACTTAGTTTATGAATATGCCTTACTTTTGACAGGAAATTAGGTTTAGTTTTATTATTTCTTGAAGAAAGTCATGCATGAAGTGTTCCTTTGGATCATTTTTAGCTCTGTTTTTTTGAAATTATCTTTACTCATGTCTTACCTTTATGTAGGGCTTCATTGTAGAGGTAAAGGAAGTCTCTCTAGAGAAATTGCATATTTATAAACAACCCTTTATTATTTAAGCATGAAAGGTATAGGAGTATACTGTCAATTTGCTATTGTTTCAACACTTGGAGCAGGAATCATGAATCTCATGTGTCAAGGACAACAAGGCTTAATAACAAAGAGCTCCCTTACCTGTGGCTGGATTTGAGGCAGTTTTAGTGTTCCATGTGGAAATCACTCTTTGGATATTGTGGAAGAGTCTCCTGGGTCTTAGGCTTAACAGTGTAAGAACCTAAGGTTCCCATTCTCTCTAAGTGAGACAGTCACGTCCTCATCAAATTGGGAAAGGTATAAGCAGGAGGCTTTCTTCCATCTGTCCTAAGTAGGGCACCAAATACTCATTGGCACATTGTGGTCAAGAGATCATCATACCTGCAGAGCTTATGACCTTTCCGTTGACCTAGAAATCTGCTTAGTAACACAGGAATAACTGTATGTATCTAGCAAGACTGAGGGAGGTTCGTGGGCTTGCCTTATAAGACTGAAGCAGCCCCCAGGGAGGGGTCACTTTCAGCAAGAGCCCCACTGCAGTGCACCTTTGCTCCATCCTGAATCACACTTTTGCAGGTGCAGTCTGTGTTTGGTGTGACCCTTGAAACTCTAACTTCTGCTTTTGCCAAGGCAATACCCATCAACTTCCATTAAAGAAGGAAAGTTTTTCCTTTAATATTTAAACTTATAAAACATTAAAAAGGTTTGGTTAATGTTATAATAACTCATAATTTAAATCTAAAATTGTATTTATAAGAATGACATTTAACAAAATAAATGAGAATGTATCTGGGTAGATTTGATTGAACCAGTAATTAGTAGCTACAGAAATGAGTTGGCAATTCTGGCATTGTGGAAACAGAATGTCTTGTTTCAGGACTGATACAAGACATTTGTTTCTGAATATACTGCATTACCCAAGAGGTACATTTCTGGCAATGTTGCAATGAATACTGTCTTGATTCTCCAGTGACATATTCTTTATGCAGCTCACTAATTCCATCTCTTATTTCCAGTCTCTCTTTTTAGCATGTAATTAAGATGGTGTCTATTCTGTAAGGTATGGTGATATGGATGTATGACATATAGGGCAGAGTAGGCTGGATTCAACTCTGCATAATGAACTTGCTTTTCAATGGAGATGTGTAAGAGCAAGAGTGGTAAAATACATGCTTTATATGCTGAGGGTCTCAGGTCTGGTTGCCAGCTTCTCCAGGTAGGGCAGCAAAGCTTCTTCCTGATACTATGGAGAGCCACTGCCAGTCAGTGTGGACAGCACTGGGTTAGATGGCCTACCTTAGATTAGGCAGTTTTCTGAGAAGCATCCTATAGGGTCTTTCTACAAACTCAAATAGCACTAGTGGATCTCTGCCAAATCTTTCCATTGTGCAAGAGTTTGCTCATTATCACAACTGTTTGAATAATGATGTTGCACAAAGGATTGCACAAGCAATATGCATAACCATTGCACAATGGCACTTGAGCAAAAGTAAGCTCAGTTGGATTCTGTTGCACTTAGCTCACATAGCTCAGAACCTTGTTTCCACTAGTGCCTTATAATTTGAGCCCATGGAGTGATGCATTGGCTTCTGCCCTATGGTCCTACCTATATTCCTAAACTGTGTTAATTGTGTTCTTATCTTTCTTCAGGAATTCGGAAAGACCGCAGAGGTGGCCGTATCCTGAAACACAAACGGCAGAGAGAGGAGAATGCAGGGGCTGTGGCGGAGGTGAGGAATCCCAGCCTTTGGTCAAGCCCCCTGGTGATGAAGCATACCAAAAAGAACAGTCCAGCCTTGTCTCTCACTGCAGACCAGATGGTCAGTGCCTTGCTAGAGGCCGAGCCACCTGTGGTCTACTCAGAGTATGATCCTAGCAGACCTTTAAATGAAGCTTCTATGATGACGCTGTTGACCAACCTTGCGGACAGAGAACTGGTGCACATGATCAATTGGGCTAAAAGAGTTCCAGGTAAGAATAGTAGCAAAGGATGTTTGGACAGCTGTTTTTATGATTACAAACCTCAGGGCATGCTGTTGGCTAGAGCGTCAGGCAAATGGGAATGAAAGTTATATTTAGGGAAATATTATTTATGCTTTCCCACCTCCAAGGACAAAATCGCCCTGTTATATGCATTGGGAGAACTTAGTTTTTCTGGTATTACTGTGGATGGTATAATCAGAAAAATTGGTCCTGACTGCCCACGTAGAAGACAAGTGCCACGTACTGTGTGATAGAGACGGTATACAGTGGCAAGAAACCAGTTTCCACATAGCTAGGCCGGAGCTAAATTTATAAGCTGCCTAACTATGGGGAAATTCTTGTGCTTTCTCATATGTTTGTTCCTGCTGTTTTTATAGGCTAGCTCAATATTATATATCCATTGCATAGAAATTTTACACAGTAAATAATTTTGTAATTTGAGGCAGGGCAGGAAGTGACACAGTTTTGGAGCCCGGTTGAAATGCATCCCTTTTGAACTCAAAAGAAAAGAAAATTTTACTTTCTTCATAGTAGAAAGAGAGAACGGAACACCTTAAGAAACAAGACAAAGGCAGAAGCTTAATTTAAAGGGAATTTAGGCCCTAATAAATATAAAGTCATATATAAAACTGATTGATGTAGTAAAATAATACTATAAACAATCTGCTATTCAGGTACCTGAAGCCCAATTAATGTGTATATTCAGATTAGTTATGATGTAGATTTATCAGACTCATGCATGCTACATCTCTTCACAGATCTGATAAGGATAAAAACAAGACTGTTCATAAATCCAATGTTAATTAACTCCATTTCTCCTGCTTCCACTGCCCCTTTCTCCCTGTCTTACCAACATCAAAACAGCAGAAAAGGTTTATTCCAGCTACTGAGTTCAGCCTTCAAGGTCCATATTCTTTGGATGTTTCTGAGTATGCTCACAGCAGCATCTAAAAAAGCTTGGAACTGTGAGAATGACACTGGTACCATCAAGCCCTTCCCACATCAAGAAGTTTAGGGTGGGAAACAACATGTTGGGACTCATGTAGGGCTTTGGCAACACAAACGTGATCTGTTCTGGACATAACTTGAAGGACAAGTTTGGGCTGAACATTTGCAATAAAATGATCCAGGTTGCTGAATAATGTCTGGACTAGTCACCCATCAATAAGATTTGTGGTTCAGGAGTAAAATGCATGCTTTGCATGCGAAGTTCTCAGGCTCACTTCCTGACGTCTCCCAGTAGGGCTGAAATATTTCTTCCCCAAAACCTGGAGAACTGCTGCCCATCAGTGTTGACAGCATTGGGGTGGATGAACTGATGGTCCCACTGAGATTAAGGCAGTTTCACCAAGTCTGAAAGAAAATGAAGATGTACTGGGAATTGTGCCACATTTAGATTATAAACTCAATTTAAACATTACATGGAATTAACAATATTAAGTGGGGCCTTCGAGATATTCTGGTCAAGACTATGAGGTGCTTCTTCCAAACAAAGTTTATCTTAAATACCAAGTTTGCTGGAAGAAAATCAAATTAATTATGTTATACATGTGTCTATCAAGCCACACAAATCTCACAAAACTCATTCACATATGTAAGATGTCTCAGCAGCTGCAAAGAACTGCCACTATTTAGAAAATCCTACATTTTATATTAAAAGGAAGTCATCTTAGTTCTCTAGTTTTCAATTGCTACATAGTAGTGAGTTAAAAATTCCACCAGTGGATTGATGAAAAATGCCTTGCAGATATTTTACAGTGAGGCATCTAATAGTATGGACATTTACTTTATTTTAATAATTTATTTGATGCCTTTAAAATATTTTTCAAGGCAGCTTGTCAAACAAAACTATGAGAAAGTCATGATTAAAACAATATCAAGGAATGAAGAATACAAGGTTACTCAGAAAAGTCTTGTGAAATCCAAGTGTTTTCAAAGTTCATTTAAAGATAAGAATGCGAGTTTATCTAAGGACATAAGAACATATGAAAAGGCCCTGATGGAGTAGACCAAAGGTCCATCCAGCCCAGCATTCTGTCCACATGGGAGAGAACCAGCTGCCCACAGGATCCCTCAAGAGGATGAGTGCAAGACCCCCACCTGCCCAAGCTCCTCATCGTGTGGTGTATGCAGGGATGCCACCTCGGGAGAAGGAGACATTACAATGTCAGCAAGACTAGTAGCCACTGATAGCCTCCACCTCATGAACCTGTCCATAAAGCCATCTAGATAGATGACCATCGCTACTTCCCCTGGCAGAAAATTCCATAAGAACATATAGAGCTAGATGGATTAGATGGTATTTTATTTCCCTCTTCAAAAACTCTGTAGTTGGATGGAAGGCATTTCAGAAAGGTAGAGAACATTTTGAAGTTATCCCACCTATATCCCCAAAAGCAAACAAGTTTTTCCTATCACTGTTCCCCTTTAAAGACTTTGAGGTTCCCCATCTAACACCAAAATTCTTGGTTAAAAGAATAACTTGTATATTTGAAAGTGATATTATAACAAAGCAATGCTGCTGTTTCAGGCAATCAGGTGTAATCACTTTCCACATAAACTTATTTGTCCCTGGAAATATTTTTTGTGGGCCGGTTATTTAAACACTTCTTAAATATATGTGCTATACCAGGTGCAGATTATGGTGTAGCGTATCATATGTGCCATACTAGGTCAGGTGTACTCTCTGCCAATCATCTGAGCATTTTCAACATGGGAGGTTGTAAGCAGTTAAGACCAATGCATGGACAGTTGTGTCATTAGCTATTAGGCATGATAGCTAAATAGAACTTTTACATTTAAAAGAACACGTGGCCGGAACTTGTGGACACGCAACAGTGGCAACCATGCGCCCTATTCATTAAGTTCGAGAGATCTGACCCAACCACAATAGGAAATGCAATACAGAACTGAGTGGCTTGGCAGCTTTATGTTTTCGATGGCAGCTGTAACCATGTTCCATTCTGCCCTGTTAAAAGTCATAAAGTGGACAATAGGTCCTCCTGGATACAAACATGCATCCTGTTTTGTCTGCCAACAATTTCCCTTGCAAACTCTTAACCCAGTTTCAGAGAATTTGTAATAAACGTGTAACCCAAAATGCCTTCACTTTAAGATCTGCTATGTAGGCTTCCCTGTGAAATCTCTTGCAGGTCTTTTAAATGTTGGAGTATGGACAAACTGTCTGAATAAAGTGGATAAACTGGATAGGCTGGATTAAGAGACTGGACCGCAAGAGTTAAAGCCTTTCAGGGGCTAGGGAGGAGGAAGAAAGGTGTGTTATGCTATCCTGGGCAGAGTCCATTTATACTGAAATGTAAATGAAGGTGGAACTGCTGAGGCAGGTAAGCTCACCAGACATTTAGACATCATGGGAGCCCCTGTGTCAGAGAAGTATTTAAATTTGCATGAATACAAGAACTGTTTTGCTGGCTGAAGTAAATGATACAACTGCAAACAGAATTACTCCATTTTGTCAACATCCTTTAGTCATGCAGACTGGGTTTATAGCAGATCATGTTAATAACTAACTTGCTGAAGTAAGCTGCTTTAGCTAACTTTAGCTAACACACATTGCCTGGCTATTTCATGGAAGGTAACTTGATCTCTCCACTGTCTAGGAAGTTGTAGTCAACCCTAACATTCACTTTCATTTTCAGAGGCTTTCCTTTAGGCTGTAAATGAGTCAAATAGTCTCAGAACACACATTTCTGAGAAATTGAAGATTTCAAACACCTGACTTTCAAACGAGGGCAAAGAGGAATCCAAGAATGCTTGGAGGGATTCTGATATAGTTCACCCCAACCCTACTTATCAAGTCATATTTGCCTTTATGTATTAGGAGTTCAAGTTCATTCTGTTTGTTTGCCATATTCTGGGAATCAGTGTAGACACTGGAGTCCACATGCATTATAGGTTCTAGCTTCATTCCTACATTATTGTGAAAATCATTTTGGAGTCCTACCAGAATTCTGCTCTCTGTCATGGGAAATAAGTCTCATCCACTTTTGTCTCCAAGTTCATGTCTCCTTTCCTAGTAGGATTCAGTTTAAAGCCTTCCTGATGTAATTCTTAATGTTGTGTCCAAACACAGCTGTTTTCTCTTATGAGGTGCAACCCATCCCTTGCCAGGAATCTGTCTTCAAGTCCAGTAATCTGTGATCTCATAATCTTAATCTCTCACATTGGCACCACCTTTGTAGCCAGTTGTTCAATTGGAGGATTTTTCTTTCCCCTTTCTATTTCTATTCTAAAAATGGGAAGGGTGGATGAGAAAAGTATATGGGACCCAAAGTTCCATCGACTGGCTGCCCCCAGGCTTGGTGAGGCAGCTGTGGCTTGGTCTGCAGCCTGGGAACATGGCTCACATAATTGAAAATAGAATTTAAAAGTTATATTTTTCTTACCTTCAATCCTTTTTTAGCATCTTCGTCTCTCTCTCTCTTCCACCCTCTCTTCTGTTTCCCGCTCTTTATTTCCACTCTGTATATGCATGCAATGTGTGGGGGGCGAGGGGGAGCCAGCGCACGTGCAGTTGAGCTTTGACAATTAGGCATGTGCGCTAGCTCTCTGCTCACTTTCAAAGAATGCCTGGGCCAGCTCAGAACTTTTGGACTCGCTTGGAGATCTTTTTCTCTGAGCAAGTCCAAAAGCTCTGAGGTGGGCTGGATAAATGAGCATGGGCCGTAGTTTGAGGACCCATGGTTTAAAGTATATTCCTGGGAATGAATCTCAGTATGAATCACTGAACACTCAGTGGTGTTGTATTTGGTTGACACTTATTTTTGAGAGTCCCCTAATGTTTAACATGTCAGGCAGGTAGGATAAGGTCTTTTTCATGGAGAAACATATGTGTGCTGTGAATTTGGCTGGTGCAGATTTTATTCACTAATACAAAACTTGCCAATATTCAAAATGTCTTAATAAATGGAAGGAAAATAATTAAGATTTAAAAAATACGAATGTGAAAGAGAGCAAAAGTGACAGAT